TTTATTTGACACAACCCGAACATTTTAGTTTTAATTTTTGAAAACTTTTGTTGTTTGCCTGATTTTAAATTTGAATTTGAATCGGTTTCGAACTAACTCGAGATTAGCAACTACAAACGAGGTGAGTGGCATCATTAGCAAAGGATCACTGTAGCTTAATTACCCGGGCGTCACATGGAGGATGCTCCGAAAGGTGAAAGAACCCCCCGAGGGACAAGTGGCCAACATAATTGTGGTATCCGGAAAGTACCTAGCCTTAAGAACCCGAGCAGATAAAGATGTTGGGTATTGTAAGATCCTCCATGCCTCTTTAGCCAATAGAGCTTGGTTGAAAGCTTCCGGGTCACGAAAGCCAAGACCTCCATCCGTCTTGGCCTCACACATCTTCTCCCAAGAGATCCAATGCACCTTCTTATCACCATTTGTTGCCCCCCACCAGAATTTTGACAAGATAGAAGTCAGGTTCCGGCACATTTTCTTTGTGAGGTGAAAACAACTCATGGTGTAGGTTAGTGTGGCTTGGACTACAGATTTACTAGTACCTCCCGCGCGGCCTTTGAAAGCCCCTGGACCTTCAAACCGTTTACCTTGCCCTTTGAGCACTCCGTGACATACCTGAAAGTGCCATCCTTTGATCTCCCAACCAGTGTGGGGAGACCCAGGTAACGCTCACCCAACGCCTCAACATGAACACCCAGTATGTTTTGTAATTGGCTTTTCATGCCATCCTGAGTGCCTTTGCCAAAAAAGATAGAGGATTTTTGTAAGTTAATGTGTTGACCCGAAGCCTCTTCGTACTGCCTCAGGATTTCCTTCAACTCCATCATATTATCCGTTGATCCCTCAAGGAACACAATACTATCATCGGCGAACAGTCGATGAGTAACATTGGGGCCAGTGCTCCCAAATGACACTCCTTTGATTCTATTCTCCTCTTGTGCTCTTTTCAGTAGCGCCGAGAACCCCTTCACTCAGAATAAGAACGGGTAGGGGGATAACGGGTCCCCTTGTCTCAGTCCACGAGAGGGGACGAAACCCCTAGATAAGCCGCCATTGAACCTCACTGAGAATCTCGCCGATGTCACACATCGCATGATCATAGTAATCCACTGAGTATCAAAACCAACTCGATTCAAAACCTGCTCCAGAAAGATCCACTCAGACTCTATCATATGCCTTCATCATGTCCAACTTTACCGCACACAGTGGTTTCTTCCTCTTCCTGTTCCGAATGGCGTGCACACACTCATATGCCACAATTACATTATCCGAGATCAACCGCCCCGGAACAAATGCACTCTGTTGTTTTGAGATCAAAAGAGGGAGTGAGTCCTTTAACCTGTTTGCCAAAACCTTTGTGGCTATTTTATAAAGCACATTACATAAGCTGATTGGTCTGAACTGTGAAAGCAACTCCGGTGAGTTAACTTTGGGAATCATTACAATGACCGTATCATTAAAACCTTCAGGTGTCGATGCTCCGTGAAGAAAATCTTTCACCGTCTTGCATACATCCTCCCTAACCAAGGACCAGTGTTTTTGGTAAAAGAGGGCCGGGAGCCTATCAGGCCCGGGTGCCTTTGTAGGCCCCATCTGGAATAATGCCCGCTCGATCTCCTCATCAGAAAAGGCTCCCGTCAACCTTTGGTTCATTTCCGCCGTAACTAGTGGTGCAAAGTTTTGTAGCAGCTCGTTGGCACCAGCCGACCCATCAGACGTGAACATGCGTTCATAGAAAGAGGCAGCCAGTTCCCTCATGTCCTCGTCCACGGTGCAGCGAGATCCATCCTCCCGCTGTAGCGCCCTGATAGTATTTTTTTTTCTTTTCCTATGCGTAGCCCTGTTCTTGAAATATTTGCTATTTTGATCTCCTGCTTTAAGCCAGTCCACCCGGGAACGTTGACGGTAGAACAATTCTTCCCTCGCATAGATTTCTTTCAGCTTTTCCTCAATAGCACGGGTTTCCAGTGAACACCCCGTCTCCGTTGCCCTAGTTTTGGCTGAAACTAGCTGCGATCTGAGCTTGCTTATTTGGTGTCGGATAGATCCAAAGACCGCCCGAGCCCAACGCTGCATTGAGCTTGCGACCCGGCCCAGACGCTGCATGCATGCATGTATGCAGGGGCGAATCTACTGTACAGGCTTTAACAGGCTTGAGCCTGCCCTCCAACCAGATCAATTAGGCCTTTACTGCTTATAATACAGGGCCCAGCCCAGCAAATCTGCTGTGTTTTGGCCCATCTCAGTGCCTCTCGCTTGTTTGAGCCTGCCCTACAATTACATTCTAGATTCGCTGCTGCATGTATGCCCTGCGCTCCCCCGTCCGACGAGGCCCAAGCTCCATGTCATCGTATGTCTCATGCCTGGTCCATGCTTCCTCAAAGTGGAAAGGTCTATCCCCCTCTGGTCTACGGCTAGGAGCCGTCTCCATAGCCCGAATCAGAAGCGCTTGGTGGTCCGATTCCTCCGTCATCACATGCTCAACCGTCGTCTCGGGGAAGAGATCTATAAAACTCTCGTTGCATGTAGCTCTATCTAGCCTGACTTGAACGTTATCGTCTGCATTTCGTTTATTATCAACGTTCTTAATCGGTCATCACTCATGAATAGGATTGCAAATGGTGAACTGCCACCGATGCATTTTGTAGTAAATGGCCATCGGTTGGTGTTTGCGAAGAAAAAGAAAAAAAAAGTCATCGGTTGGTGTATACAGTTCCATAATAATTTATCAGTAGCAAAACAAGTATCGTGCACAACTGCTAGTTGTTCTACTCTGGCTAGCTGCCTAGCTAGGCGATCACAGGCACCATCGCTACTTCCGCCTTTGACCTTGGCCCTAGCTAGTAATCGACGGTGGCGGCGGCACGGCCATCGACGACGCGCCGTGGGGGTTGGGCGAGGGAGGCTTGTTCACCGGCGTCCTCTGCCCCAACCGCCTCGCAGCTCCCATGGCCCCTAGCTCTCTCCCTCCAGCCAGCCCGGCGTCGCCACCACCTCGCGGCAGCACTGCATGCAGCCTCACACCGATCGATCAGTTCCGATGTACCGTGTGTACCACATATACAGCAAAGATGAAAAACCAGGGGCGTCGATCAGAAATACCTGGAGGAGGACGTGCGGAGGCCGCGCAGGAGACCAGGAGCGCGGGGACGGCGACGGCGACGAGCAACCACCACACGGCGGCTGTCCCGCTACGCATCGAGCGAGCCGTGTGTGGGCAGAGAACCGCTCGAGACTGGTAGTCTGGTACTACCACCACGCAGAATTGCGGTGAGATCAGAGGGCGAGGAGGTCATAAGTATAGCCAGCGTCCAACGAGGTGGCTGGTGAGTAGTGACTGACAGTGAGAGGTGTGGAAACTCTGGGCCATGTTGACCGTGGAGAGACGCTCTGAGGCGGACAGATGTGAGCTGTTTGTTGTACGCTTGTGGCATTCTAAGTTTTTCTCAACCCGGGGGCTGATTGGACTCTCGTAGTTTTGTGTCGACCTCCAAGTCTGAACGGGTTGTTTGCCATGTCCTGGCAATCGGTGCATGCACCCATGCCGGCGAGTCCACTGTATGCAGGCCGCCGCTCGCGCTTGACTTCCGTCCTCGTGATGCACTAGGGGGGGTCCTATTTTCCCTTCGCAGATTGAGATCTTTGCTTATGAGGTTCTGGACTTTGAACCAAGGCAGATTTTCCGACAAAGAATGAATTTTATTGGCTTAAAAAGTAAAGCATTAAGAGGATATTTCGACAAAGAGTGAATTTCATTGGCTTAAAGAGTAAAGCATGAGGATACATACACAATAACTACATACCCAGGCTCTACACGGGTAGGATGCACACAATCAAAACCAATACAAACACATAAAAAAACACGCCGACAAATAGCAAAATCATATAAGACAAAAGTTATGGTAGACGAGTAGAGAAGAAAAAAGACAAAACGATCAAATCCGCAAAAGGCAAACTACAATGATGATCATATCCGCATCAACTATTTCATGACATCCACACGAACGACGAGGTTCTTCATGAACAATGTCTTCAAGAAGGAAACGACACACAAGTGGCGCTATCACCAGATCCAACCACTCAAGGTAGAATCTAGGTTTTCACTCTAAAGAATCAGTCTGAGTATATTCGAGGAATGCCTTCAATAAGGTAATGACGTAAAAACATCACCATTGATAGGTATAACCAACAACAACTAATGTGATGTGCAACCGTCGTCGCTGTACAACCATCCCTTTGTGTCAAGCCATCATTCATAGTTTGCATCTCCCTATGGAAGTCAATCATTGAATCTGGAGATAGGTACCCTCACGAAGACTTTTTGGTGGCCACCGCAATCAACAGCAAGTCCATCGTCACAGGCCGAAGTGGTCACCATAAGGACCAACACCGATGGAGGAACACACCACTTCGCACAATCGCTAGACTAGCACTGTGCCTCCCGAATGGAGCATTGTGCCCGCCCCGTGCTCACACACTGTCGCGGCACCACCCCGTATCCGCAGCACCACCGGAAGCCCGCAATCGCGCAACGACGTGTCTAGATTTGGGTGTAGAAGCCACACCGGTGACGGCTGCTGCAACCCATTAGGAGAGGGATTTGCAGCCGGAGGAGAGCAGAGTTTGACAGGATCGAGATGCGCAAGAGCGCCGTTGGGAGCGAGATCCACACATGAGAGTTGCACCGAGGGTCGAAGTGGCCCGCCGCTGCCGTCCGCCGCACAGGGCTTCGTCCTTGGTGCTGACAGGTGGAAGAGCCTCTCATGTCGCCTGAACCGTTGCAAATAGATAACCTCTTTTATTTTTGGGGACATCTTTTTGAATAAGATTATGACGATGTGCATCCACGGATGCATATGACAGAAGAATCGTCCTTCTCTATCGAATTCTTGTGCATCACCGAAGTATTAAAGAGTACAATTCATGAAATTGACCTCTCATAGTATTAGTATTTGTGTATTAAAGGGACAATTCATGAAAATGGTTTCATAGTATTTTGTTTACTTGAGGCTTGTCATCACTACTATTACTCGACCAACCACAAAATCGAATTTCATTCCACAAACATAAACCATGAAATAAAGTTTTATGTCCATGTGGCCTAACTCAGTGGTGAGTTTGATGACGAGCTCGACGGTCTTGCCCAGCATGCTTCGCACTGGCATCCTTTGGGAACACATTTGCTGTTGTGGGCCATCACTATCTTGCACCAGTCACGACAAGTGATTTCATCACACTGGCCCTCGTAGACTCTAGGACCACAGTACTTGGCGATTGCCACATCTATCATAAACCGAAATAATGTTAAGGAAGATCACTGCACATAGCAAACATATGGAATGACATGTAGTGTATGTAGATACCTGAAGACATCATCAGCATGAGGGCAATGGAGATGAATAGGATTGGTGAAGTCCTCATCTTCTTTTAGGGAGATGTGTTGTACTATGAACTTTTGCATGCTAGATAGAAGAAAAGATGTCCATTTATAGAGATCTGCCACCCACTAGCCTTGAAGGTAGAACAACTACATATAATAGGAACAAAATTAGTAAGTTGCATGCAGATAGAGAGATTGGATATGTTAAACAAATAACAAATTAATGACATTGACCCAAGTACTCCCTCTGTTTCTAAATTAAGTCTTTTTATAGATTCCAATGAGGACTACATACGGATGTATATAGACATATTTTTGAATGTAGATTCACTCATTCTGCTAAAAGGGCTTATATTTAGGAACGGAGGAAGTAATTATGGAGATTGGATGTGTTAAACAAAGAACAAATTAATAACATCAATGCCGATAATTAAAGAGATAGGAAGGAACATATTGATACATCAATGTGTAACATTCCAGAGATTGGAAAGAACAAATCGATACATCAATGCATATCATTAAAGAGCAAATTAATAACATAAATGCTGATAATTAAAGAGATAGGAAGGAACATATTGATACATCAATGTGTAGCATTTCAGAGATTGGAAAGAACAAATCGATACATCAATGCGTATCATTAAAGTGCTTTGATGTGCTAAACAAAGAACAAATTAATAACATTAGTGAA